GCAGAATGCAGCCAGTGGGCAAAGGGGAGGCCATGAGACCCTTCTGTGCATGCACCTAGGACCCAAGCCTGTTCCAGGGACGGGGTGGGGCACACTTGAAGAGACCCCGCTGTTTGCCGTCAAAACTCCCAAAGAGCTGAGCGGCCCCTCTGCTGGGTCAGAGTGGCCTCAAGGGCTTCGATACAGAAGACAAAACATCAGCAAGAAGGTCTGAAGCAGGGAATGGAGAAAAGGTGGTGGAGGGAACAGAAATAGGGGCTGCCTGGAAGAGGGCAGGGAAAACCGGATGCAGACACACCCTGTATAGTGGTCTGGCTTCTTCTCAGCATGTGTACATGTTTATTTTTCAATTAAAATGTAAAAGATTAACCAGTAATATTTATGTCTGGTCATGGAATAATAAAACTCGAGAGACTGAAATCATGGAGGGAATTGACTCGAAAATTCACAGAGAAGGTAAGCAAGCCCAGACAGGGAGGCTGAAATGAGAAGGCTCAATGCAAGGACTATCCGAGTTGGCTCCCTGTTTCTGCCCCATAGCCAAGGATAACTGGAACATTCCAAGGGATTCCTCTTGACGCAAGAGGAGAAGAGTTTGATTTCAGTTGAATGAGCTTAAGGTTTGAGTTTAGATCCAGCAAATGAAAAGGGGGTTGGTATGCAGGTGAGCGGCAAGCCCAGGTGTGCAAGAGCTGGGCGTGAAGATTCAGACAGGAAGGCTGACAAGGCATCCCACCTCAAGGGACCAGCGGATTACTTGGTGGCGAGTTGACTTCTTTGGGCCCCTTCCATGTCGAAGGACTGGATGTGTTTGCTTTTACAAGAATGGACACATGCTCTAGCTATGGGCTTGCCGTTTTCTTCCCACAGGCTCTCAGGCGGCACCATGGCCCAAGTGGTCAAGAGGGTTTGATCCACTGGTATTGGTCCTCTGAAAATCACAAGGGAGGGACTGACTCCATAGCAAAGGCATTGTGGGAGGGACCCATAGTTCAGACAGGGAGCCACCTGGAAGCTGCCAGCCTGGTGGGGCCCTGGCATGAGGGACGATCAGGAGGTGATGCTGATGAGGATGGGGCGCCCTCCTCCAGGGGTCAGGGAACCGTGGAAGCAAGGGCCTTCTCAGGATGCTGTGTCCTCGGTGAGAAGAATTCATGAGTCAGTAACCATGGCGGAGAGGTACCCAGCTCACCATCCCTCCCCAGGACTCAGCAGGAGATTTTGTGAGTCCTCTCGCCCTACTTCTATGCTCTGTGGGGTTAGGGTCTTGGTCTCCAAGGAAAGCTAGCTTTCCCAAAGAGACACAGCAAAGTCCCACTGAACTCCAAGTTGAGGCTGCTACCTGGCCCTCCAGGAGACTTGAGCCTGGTCATCTGGAAAAGGTCAGTTTGCTACGATACAGGGGTGGGAGAAGAGGTGGGTGGGCAGGTAAGTTCGTGGTCCCCAGCACCCCCTGGGGCACCCCTGATGCTCCCTTGGCCAGTTGTCAGGGCAAAGGGGTGAGTGCCCAGCTCTGCCTGTGACCAGGGACTTGATCCCGGGGAATGGTGGTCTCTTGAAGCTCACCAGGCCAGCTTCAAGGCCGGAACATGTGCTGGTTGAGGAGGGGGGCCGCTAGAAGGGGTGGGGAGCTATCGCCGGTGAGTTCTCTGTGGCCCTGGGATGCGGCCACAGTGTGGAGGCTGCTGGACCTCAGCAGGCCTCTGAGTCCTGCCCCGTCTGTCCAACACGAGACCACTGGCTTGGTCCTGAGACCGGGAGCCTCAGATACTTCATTGCAGTGCACACACCTAGACAGAGGTCTCCTCGAGTGAAAAATACAAAGAAACCATAAGAGGCCAAAAACAGCTGGATGTGTGCACAGTTGGGGCAAATCACGGACTGTGCTATGCTGTGCTGAGTCACTCAGTCGTGTCCGACTCTTTGCAACCCCATGGACTGTAGCCCACCAGTCTCCTCTGTCCAGGGGCTTCTCTAGGCAAGAATACTGGAGTGGGTTGCCATGCCCTCCTCCAGGGGAATCTTTCCGACCCATGGACCGAGCCCAGGTCTTCCACATTGCTGCTGCTGCTGCTGCTAAGTCGCGTCAGCCGTGTCCGTCTCTGTGCAACCCCACAGACGGCAGCCCACCAGGCTCCCCAGTCCCTGAGACTCTCCAGGCAAGAATACTGGAGTGAGTTGCCATTTCCTTCTCCACTTCCACGTTGCAGGCAGATTCTTTACCGTTAGAACCAGCAGGGATGTCTCCACTGCAATCCAGTCCACCCTCTCCCCCATCCTGCTTCCCTCCATCTTTCTAGAAGGGTCAATGCCTAGCAAATATCCTCCCCACCCCACTCCATCTCAGTCGGGCTCCCAAGGACCAGCCCCCACAAGGAACGAGCAGAAGAAGCCAGTCCCAGAGAGGGCGGATGCCGGGGGAATATCCTGAGGTCTTTAAGGAAACAAAGACCCAAAGATGAGGAAGAGACTTCAGGCACTGAGGATGTATATTTACATACTGTAGAGCCACGCCATCCCACAGGCACAGCGGAGCACTTTCTGCCCTGGTGCTGCCACACAGACCTGAGCTCAGAGTCCTGCTCCTCTGAGGGCGGCGTCCTGGGGCCAGTGTGCAGAAGCCATCAAAGTAAGACAGTGATCTGTCTGGGCTTCATCCACCCGGGGGCACCTACCCCGTCCTGGCTGCCTCTTCCACACACTCACTCCAAGGCGGGGGTGGGGCGGGGGCGGCGGGAAACCAAACTTCTCACCTTGAGGTTTCAGTCTGTATGATTGGCACTCGGACCTTCAAGGAAGAGCTCCATCTATTTAGCTTCTTCCTTCCACTCCCTTTCTGAGAGGCTGTGTCTCCTCTCTCATTTTCAGAGCCCCACCACATGCGCGCACACACACACACGCACACACATGTGTGCACACACACATGATTTCCTGTGAATCCAAAAAAACAAGAAAGAAAACAAAAAGCTGGCAGATGCTGATTTTTCCGCTCAACTGCACATATTTTATAGTATTTCTCTCTGTTTTTCTCCCAAGACGCCCACCTGACCTCGCTCTCTCTCCAAATTCTCTCCATTGTGGCCAAATGTCACAGATCATGTGAGGCCGTTCCAGCCCATGAAAATATGCTGTAAATGAGCGCATCTGCCCTCTGATCTTAACCCTTGTCTCTCCTTCTGCAGTCATTTCTCCTCCTACATGAGAAGCCCCTTCATTCGCAAGGTCTTTCTGACACTGCCCGGGGAGAAAGGCAACACCCCTTCTCTCTGAAGCAAAAGGGAAAACAGTCAGAGTTATTGGTTCATATTTGCATACAAAAGTCTTGGCGTTTCAGCTAGGCTTTCCAGAGCTGGGGGGAGAAAACACCCAGCTGAGCCTCCCACAGACAGTGAAAGACAAAGAACACAGAAAAATGATGAGTCCTGAATGCCTGCCCTGCGTGCGCGCTAAGTCACTTCAGTCGTGTCCGACTCTGTGCGACCCCACGGACTGTAGCCCACCAGGTTCCTCTGTCCACGGGATTCTCCAGACAAGAATGCTGGAGTAGGTTGTCATGTCCTCCTGAAGGGGATCGTCCCCACCCAGGGATTGAACCCATATCTCTTACTGCATGGGCAGGTGGGTTCCTTACCACTAGCACCACCTGGGAAGCCCTAAAACTAAAATAATAATAATAATAAAAATCAAAGAAAAATAAAAGGAAAGACAATGTCATCACAAAAATTTAAACAATTATTTCAATAGCCTATTTAAACAGAAGACCATTCTTTGGGTTTCATAAACACGCACTCAGCTATGATTTCATTTTCGCATCAAAGTCTATGTTTTGTTAAGAGGTTCGCAACAATTTCTGCAAATACCAGCAATTTGGGGGCATTTCGGGTGCCAGGCACAGCCAGATTCCAAATCTGAACATGACAGAAGTAACGTTTTGCTCCTAAGACGTTTGCACCAGACGTCTAAATAGATGTCCCAATTTTAACTTAATTTGGGAGCCCTCTCATGTGATGGTAAACTCTACATCTACAGAGTTCTCTGCCTTTGGTGGTACAGAGATGTGGCTGGAGGGGAGACATTCATAACCCAGCTTCTTATGAAACCCGTGAATTTTCCAGGTTTCTCCAGCACCTGTAACTTTGCTTATTTTCAGTTTGCTGTGGTAAGTCTGCGTTCAGGCTTTCTAAATGGGAAAACCGCTGTGAACATGAAAAATTTCTTTCGGAATGTCTCCTCTCTGCTACTTAGTACCTGGACCAACTGCTGCTTTTAATCTTATACCCACTGGGACTGCGTAGAACTCTCTCTAAAATTGCAATGTATATAACTTCTGAAATGTTTTAAGTACATGAAAACGAATTAAGAACAACTTGAAAGCTCTGGATTTCTCCTCTTCTCCCCCATTTCAAAGACACTGATTGGAACTTCAGGGCAGAGCGACATTGCGGGATCAGAGGAGCAGATGGTGTGAGAACGAGATGGCCCCTCCCAGACGTCTTCTCAGCTGCAGGCTGTGTATCCTTTATTATTACTTCTTCAGTCCACAGGACATTTTTGTTCTCATTCTCTCGCTCTGCCAGGATGCGTAAGATGATGCTGTAATGTGTAAAGCATGCGTGTACCACTGCCCGCGAGTGAAGCTTATTGTTACGGGTTTTGTTCTGGCTCTGCGCAGCCCAAGTATAAATTCTTCAGTGACACTGAAAGAGTCTGAGATGTTAAGTTCATAGGACCGCATGGTATGTACATACCATCAAACATAATGTTTTACTGTTGGTTTTTTACAGCTGGAAAATATTTTGTTGTTCAGGATACAACACAGCTGCAGTGATTTGTTATTTCATCATCTCCTTAGCAACAGATGCTATGGTCCCTTATGCAAAACTCTGCCATCGTATCTAAGGGACCACTCTCTGGTACTCTCCTTCTGACTAATGACTCTTGGAGCCTTCCCAGGAAGGAATTAAATTAGTTTTTTATTAAGTTTCTTTTATTGTGGTAAAACATACATGACATCAAATTTAGCACTTTAACCATTTTAAGTGTACAATTCTGTAGCATTAAGGACATTCACATCCCTGGGTGTCTTATGGTTCTTAATATGGTCTACATATTAACGTATTGAGTCCAGCCCTGGGCCAATACAGGAGTCAAGATCTTTGTCTTCTTATAAGTTGGAGTTGATGTCCAGCTACTTTGATCTTGATGAGAAGGAAAGCAGAGGGCTGGTGGGCAAGGGCTTCATTTCTGATAAGAAGGGTCAGGAGGACCCCTCTGAGAAGGTGCCTTAGGTTTGAGACATAAATGATGATGCCGTCCAGTCCTCACAAGGTTGAGAGAGAAATCCTGTGAGCAAAAGAATATTAACTGAATGTTTGAAGTAAGAGAGGAAGTCAGGATGGGCAGGGGTTCAATCATGGCGGCCATTGTTGGAGGCTACAGTGGACACGTCCAGGCGTCCCTGGAATACAGAGTATTTAAAACCAGGGGCAGATGAGACTTCTCACGAAATGAATCAGCATCTATTCTTAATGGGCACAGAATCAACTTGTCTTGGCTGATGACCCTGGGTAAGTCCCTACTCTGGTTTCCATCTGAAGATCAAGGAGGCTGTCTTTGGTTGATGGCAAGGCTCCTTTCCAGCTATAATGTTCAAAGACTCTTTTTAAATCTCCTTCCAGGGGCTTCATCCTTCACACACAGAGTTGCCTGGATCCAGCCACTGAGCAATGGCTCTTGGCTGGGAAACAGACATCCAGAAAGTCATCAGCACTCTTGAAGTTAACTTGTGACAGAGTTCACCACTAGGAAGAGGAGAAAGCCAGTTTCCTTGTTGGAAAAGAACATTCCTATCTTGTTGCTGTTTAGTCCCTCAGTCATGTCCAACTCTTTGGGAGCCAATGAACTATAGCCTGCCAGGCTCCTCTGTCCATGTCCACAGGACTTCCCAGGCAAGAATGCTGGAGTGGGTTGCCATTTCCTTCTCTAGGGGATCTTCTTGACCCAGGGATTGAACCTGCATCTCCTGCATTGACAGGCAGATTTTTTACCACTGAGCCTTCAGGGAAGCCCATATTTCTGTCTTACTCTTAAGGAATATTGTGGTTGTAGATGATGGTGGCCATGAGGATTGGAGGTGGAGGAAAAAGAGGAAATTGAACAATGCTGGGTCACAAAGTATTACTTCTCCAAATGCTCTTAGTGGCTTAAGGTCTGGGTCATCTGTATCTCTCTCTGAAACTTCCTTCTGTCTTCTACACACACCACTATTCTCGAATCCCTCTCAGCTCCCCAAGGACCATTAACAGTGAACCAGTAAGATAAGCAGGGAACCAGTTAGAAACAAATCAATTTCAGAGCTTTTTTTTTTTTTTTTTAATAAACCATTGCAGATTATTTGTTAACTCTTCAGGGAAAAGATTTCCAACAACCATATAAATCCCCCTGGTCTTTGGTTCTGGGCAAATATACAGGGGTTTCAAAAATGAGCTTGGTTTTAAGTTGGCCAGACTTTCTTGTGTCCAATCCATGGTCACCACATAGATAAGGGTCCAAGGTCTACAGTTTAGAAAACTGAAGAAATAAAACTGTCCCCCAAAGTGAAGTGTTTTTCAATGAGAACCTACTGTACAGAGCAAGGAACTCTAGTCAATGCTCTGTGGTGACCTAAATGGGAAAGAAATTTAAAAAGAAATTGTATATGTAAATATAGAGCTGACTCACGTTGCTGTACCACAGACACTAACATGACTTTGTAAAGCAACTATGTGCATGCATGTGTGCTCAGCTGTCTCCAAATCTTTGTGACCCCTTGAACTGTAGCCCACCAGGCTCCTCTGTCCTTGGGATTTTCCAGGCAAGAATGCTGGAGCAGATTGCCATTTTCTTCTCCAGGGGATCTTATGGACCCAGGGACTGAACACTCATCTCTTGCATCTCTGGCACTGCAAACAGATTCTTTACCACTGAACTACCTGGGAAGCCAAAAGCATCTATACTCCAATTGACAAAAGAAAAAAAAACACTTTTTTTTTTAAATGACTTTTCCTTTGGCATTTCCTGATGACTCTTGAATTGACAAGTTAGTACTTGGCAGGAATTACATAGATGTAGCTTTAGATCCCAGTTTGGAGTCTTCCAGCAATGTGGCCTGGAGAAAGTTCTTAGACCTCTCAGAGCCTGATTGCTTATGGATAAAAAGGGGACAATATTTCAAGGTTCCTATGGCTATGGTTGCTCCCATCTATCTCAGAATTATTGTGACTATTATTTTTACTTGTAGAAGCTGGATTCCTTAAAATCCCATAGTCCCCCAAATAAACCAGTTTATTCAGCATATATAATTGCTGATTTTTCAGAAGGTTCTCTATAGTTACTATTGTTCCAAGTACAACATTTGGTAGTGGAATGGGCTCGTCATAGCAGGAAAAGGCAGGATGTAGATTGGAGGCCAACACCATGTGGCATCAGGACACCACATTCATTCAATGGCTGCTTAGGTTGGAAAAGGAGTTGTGAAATCCCACAAAGCTTGAGGCAGTCGTACATCTCTTTCTCTGATGAACGGGTAAGATATTAAAGAACACGGAGGAAATGGTCCACAGACAGGCCTTTGGGAAGACAGGACATTTGGCATGACCTCACAGGGTCTAGCGCAAAAGCTGGGGCATGGCTGTGATGGAGATCTCATCCCTGACAGCCACCAGCCCATGGAGCCGTGAAGACCACAGGCTCAAGGGAAGCTACCAAATGCATAAGGTTAAGATCTCCTTTCTACTGCTGGGCAAACAATTCCCCCATCACCTCCATAAAGTTGCCCAGTGTTACCAACTCCAAGCTACTCTGCTCACCACTTTAGAGACCAATGAATCCGAGATTCAAGGTGTTGAAAGCAAGGGATAGGATTTTATTCAGAGAACTGGTTGACCAAGAATATGGTAGACTAATATCTCAAAATAACCATCTTGTCTGGGTCTGGATGCCAGGTTCTTTTATGAATCAAAGATGGAGAGAGGTGAGGAAACAAAATAAAAAGGCGATTAATCTTGCAAATATCTTCTAGAATAGCAAGCCTCAGTTAAGGGGATATGTTAATTTCTTCCTTCCTGCCATCTACAGGTGGACAGGGTTCTGAACAAAGGCATTTTAGTTTAACAATCAGGCAGAGGGGGCAGGATTCTCTGAGGCAGGCCATTATGTATGATCATAATAACAAAAGCAATGGAAAGTGAGTCAAAGAAATGGTTCCAACATAGAGTCAGATATGGCTTATTCTTGCAACACCACCTCTGCACTTTTCTGCCCCATGTGGGATTCAGGCTTCAGTTTTATGCAGGATACCCTGGTTCCCACTGTGAGCAGAGTCCAGTGGGGAACTGGACAATCAACAGGGCAAGCGTCAGTGACCTTGTGTGCAGACACAGCTCGCCTCACCAGTTCGGCTCAAGAATCACGATGCTGGTGCTTAGAGAAGGGACCTGGAGGTCTTCAAGAGAGAGAGATGAGGGAATGCTAAGAATGATGCTTCTGAAGAGAGGGGAGATCAGCCCTGGCCCTGCAGGCTCCCACTGGCCAATACAGGAAAGGATTCAGGGAGAGAGAGGAAGAGGGTCCCCTAGCGAAGAAGAGCCTGAGCTATCCAGGACCCTCTCTTCAGTCTGGGCTGCGCTGACTTGCGGTGCTGGAATCTACACGTGTCCCAGGTGTTGGCAGGGGAATGCAGCACGTGACAGCCGACACCCCCCCAGAAATGCGGGTCGGGGGAAGGCCCAGAGACAAACGCCAGCTAAGGAAGCACATCAACCAAGTGTCCATTTGATGTGAGTGTTGACAGGGCCACAAGCCAAGGAATGAGCTGCAGTCTGTTGCCAACGGCGCTGCTCAGGGTGCCAGGGGAGTGTCTGTGGACTTGGAGGAGGGCTTGCCTGAGGGCTGTGGGCCCGGGGAGGGGCAGGGGCAGCTCGGTTTCTCTGAGGACCAGGAAGAAGGCAGTAACATGGTGCTGTGGGGGGGATGTGATGACACGAGGACACAGAGCCTGATGGGACTTTGCTTTGGCTCCGGGTGTGATGGAGCCTTTTAGGCAATGGTGTCACAGGACCTGATTGCATCTGAAAGAAAGGGTCTCCTTGACTGCTGTGTGGAGCGTGAACCCAGGGAGGACATCAGCTGGGGTCCAGTTAGGCTGGACCAGCCAGCTAGGCTGATCCTGAGAGAAGCTCGGGACAGGCAGCTTTGAGGAGACAAAACCAGAGGCAGGAGGTGTGCAGAGGCCTCCTCGAGATGCACAGGCCCAGCGTACCCATCCCAGCCTGCACGGGATGTGTGCAGCCACTGTGGTCTCTTCATTAGGTCCCTCTTTTCTCATTGAAGTGTAGTTGATTTACAACACTGTGCCAGTCTCTGCTGCTCAGCAAAGTGACTCAATTATACACACATGAATATTCTTTTTTAATATTCTTTTCCATTATGGCTTATCCCAGGAGATTCGATATAGGTCCCCGTGCTATCCAGTAGGACCTTGTTTATCCATTCTGAATGTAAGTTTGCATCAACTAACCCCAAACTCCCAGTCCATCCCTCTCCTTCGCTGACTCCCCCACCCTCGCCTTAATAACCACAAATCTGTTCTCTACGTCTGAGTCTGTTTCTGTTTTGTAGATAAGTTCATTTTTGCCATATTTTAGATTCTCAGGGACTCCTCCAATGGGACTGATGAGCCCACTCACTACTGAACCAACACATAAGAAAAAGAAAAGAAACCTACCTTAGCATTTCTCTGCTTTTCACTGAGAAAACGTTTTCAAAAATTTAAGCATATTTTTTGAAGCATTATAATCATGTAAAGAAGCCATGGTGCCATCAAGTGAACATAAACACCTTAACCCCTTCAATAATTAATTGTAATACGAAATTTGGCTACACATATACATTTTAAGCAATGCCTTAAAGCACAGACTATGTAGATTTAACATGCATCAGTTATGTAAGAGACACCTATTTCTTACAGGAAGTAAAATATTGGGTTTGGGGAGGGGTTTGTTTTTTGGGGACTAAGTGACAGGCGTTCTTTGTTTCCAAATAGAGCAGACTTCAGAGAAGTTTATTTTGCCATTAGTGCATGCCTGTAAAATTTCGAACAGAAAGAAATATAAAAGGGTAGATCAAGTAAAAATCTTTCCTCACATCAAAAACCTAGAATGATGCTGAAATGCCAGTAAAAAAAAAAAAATTAATTCATGTACCAGGCACAACCTGCCACTCTATAAGATATATAAGACCTCTAGATAAATTATAAGGGATTTGTGGATGTTGCATATATTGATTAAGACATCAAGCATTACATACCAACCAATAATGAATTACTTCATGCTGGAAGATAAAACTTTGTGATATTTAAAATTACAGACTTGAAAGTAAGTAAAATTACCCCTAATTACGCAGAAGGGAGTAACACCTTCGCAGTAAACAAGATAAGCACCTCAAACAGCACTAATAATTTTAATTAACATTTTCAAGTTTCCTTCTACCTCTTTTCAAGGTCACCTTCTCCCTCCTGGAGGAACAGCTGCTGTGGTTCCAACTTCCATCACATTTCTTATCATGAGGATTAAGCAACAGGAATATTTTCTAGAACTAATTTTTTTAAAACAAGTAATTGTGGGCCAAAGCAAACACTGAATGGCCGGAGCCCCTAAGCAGTGATTTTAAAGCGGACTGCAAATCTCATTTCCCATCTTTGTTAAGATTGCAACTTGTCTCTACCAAGTCCCTTTATTGGAATCATGAAATATGCCTGAACTATTGAATATTCAGATTATAATCCAAGTCTAGGAGAGTTTAACCAGCAACGCTGCAAATGAATCTCACGCGTAACACAGCCTATCTACATGGTATTTGTATCCTCTGTTGAGTACTGGTTAATACATTCATTTGTTCAAGATTTATGATTTTGCTAAACTGTTTTCTCTCTTTTGTAAATTAAGAAACCAGTAAGAATAGGGCTTTGTTATATCAATGGGTTTGTTCCATGCCACAAATTTAATGTACAGGGTCACTCAGAATATAATGTGTAGTGAAAGAATCTCATTAGGGCTAAAATGAATGTAAAATGTGTCAATTTGATCCAAATGAGAACTGTAGTAAAACCATGTTTGATGTTCGTGTGCAATAAATCTTTAACATTTGTCTGTAAAGTATTAGAGAACCCACAGGGAAATCTGTGTTTGTGATAGCAGCACATTTCCCATGGTTTTCCTCTATTATTCTTTGTTGGCATTTAGCATATGGAAGTCAAAAGTGAAAATCTAAGATGGGGGTTATTAACCATGATTCTAAAGTAAACAGAAAATGTACCTCATGCTCTTTAATGTACTTTAGAAAAACTAGAAATCATTTCAAAAAATAAGACGAGCAAATCTTTGAAGACACCTTTATCGTGCATTTTGAGAGATGCTACAATCTTGCAGTTTCAATCTTGGAAAACAGCACCTGATTTGACCCATGTTTGCCTGGAGTATCTTTTACTTTTAGATTTGATTTTAAAGATTCTAATGGTTTCATTTTCTATTGCATATGTGGTGACCATTATCTTTCCAATTCATTTTTATTTTGATATATTCATATTGTTAATTACTGTTGTATTTCAATTTTCTCCCTAGTATTTTTGTTCCTTCATAATGGCTTTATGGTTCACTGGACCGAAATGACTAAAATGAAAGATTTCCAAGATTTCTTCAGGGAGTAATTTACAAAAGACCAGCATTTTTTAATTGCTCCTGATGTTTAGTTCTGGATATCTGCTTCAGAAAGAAATCAATCTTCGTCTTTTAGGTGCCATACTGAGCACATCATCATCTTTTTTAGAAACTTGATAATTAAACCATTTTTTTTCCTAAAATTACTTAAAACATTTTCCTTCTCAATCTGATTTCTCTAACAGCTAGAAGCACAAAAATGCATGACCATCTCTGTTTACATTAATGTAATTCTTTTCTTTTTTTTTTTTGCGGAAATGTATTTTGCTCTTTAATGTAGTGAAAAATAATAATAATCAGTGTGACGTCAAAAATAATTAAGAGAAATATTCAGGTTTACCCAATAGGAAAATTCTTCCTGTAGAGGAATGAAAAGAAAATTAATTTCCCTGTGTTAAGGTAATGAAAATCATTTTCAGAGTCCCCAAGTAAAAGAAAAACTTAACAATGGATATGCCTTCAATAAGAAACAGCTCATTTAAAACATTGATATGCTTAAGATCTCACGGTGTCATTGATAAGATCCGTGGGAACATTCTGGCAAGAAGCAATTTCCTGTGTGCATCATGCTAATATTCTCTTAGAAGATGGCATTCCCTGTCTTCAGTAATCCTGATACACATTGCCAGGAAATATGCTGATTTCAACTTCACATTAGCCTGTGGTTGGAAAGGGACATCTCCCTTCATCACCTGTAACTAGATGGCCACTGAGACCTGCCACGGAAAACTCTCACAGAGGGACTTGCCCTGCACCCCTTCCTGTATTATGTAGTCATCCAGGTTGTAAAGGCCATGCTGATTGATAACTGATATTCTTGCTTTCCTTTGGGAAACTCTATAGTTAATATTGGGCTATAAAGAATCTGCCTGCAAGGTGGGAGATCAGGGTTCAGTCCCTGGGTTGAGAAGATCCCCTGGAGGAGGACATGGCAACCCACTCCAGTATTCTTGCCTGGAGAATGTCCATGGACAGAGGAGCCTGGTGGGCTACAGTCCATGGGGTCGCAGAGTCAGACACGACTGAGTAACTAAGCACAGCACATAGCTAATACTGACTGATTTTCAGTGTCTGTGTTAAAAAAAAAATACAGAGACTGAACTATTGCACATATATCTTCACAAAGTATTGCTTGGTGGCCTGTGTCCAAATGAAGATGATTTCTTCTGGCTGAGGTGGGGCAGCCTAACCCATGCGAGGATTCTGTATTGGACACAGTCCCTTTCACTTGACATCCTAAGAAGGACTGGTCTGTGGTTTCTGTTGTCATTTGGAATCTGTTGTGTGGCATTTTTTCTTTTTTTTTTTCCAGCAGATTTATTTTCCTAAATACACCCAGCTTTGAATGATACTAAAATCAATTCCCATCTCCTGAATGTCCACCATGTTGGAAGGAGGCCCAGGTGCCCGCTAGAAGTCCAGCGGAGCCAGCCTGATGCTTCACTGTGCAGGGTTAGGAGCAGACCACGGTGAATTCTGCTAGAGAATCGGAGTTTGCAAAGAGGTTCCCGAGAATGCCTGGTCCTGTGTCTCAGCTAGGGGCAGCCCCACCTGAAGCTTCCATAGACCCACATCTAGCGTCAGAGGGACTCTATCTGCCCAGCTTAGTGTTAAGATTTGGGAAGATCCTCTTGGACGGAAAGCTTGCAGAGCCCTTCGTGCTCCCAATGCTGTGTTGGCTTTGTAACTGGAGAAGCGCAACAATGGCATAAGCTTCCAACCCTCCCCTCCTCAAAGGGGTTTGATCCTGTGGATTGTGAAAGGCACAGATTTTATTTCCTCATTTTCTTTTTAAGTTGCCTGTCAAAGCTCACAATAGGAAAAACAAACAGCCTGCTTGAAGTCAAGTGAGGAGGGGAGGGTGCTCCTCCCTGGGGGGCCATTTCACCCCCCTGACCTGAGGGGCCTTTCTTGACTCAACCGTGGATAAGAGCACGATCCCAGATGTAATGTCCTCTGAGTGGTCCTCCATGTGTTCCCGAGTCCACGACCCCACATCTCGTTTCCCAGCCAACTGCACTCTGGGACCCCTGTCAACCCTCCCCACCCATCATCTCAACCATCCCTGCCCCCCAACCCCCATTTTATTCCCAATGCCACTCCCCAAAATGATTGTTGCTACTTTTGCCATATTAATGTCACTCATCTAATTGGACTTTAGTTCAGAATATTGCAGAGAATAATTTCCTCAGCAGCATTCAAACCCTCCACCACCCAGCCTTCCTTCTTGGTTCGTAGCTCTTGTTCCCTCTATACACTCTGTATGCTACTGCTAAGTCACTTCAGTCGTGTCCGACTCTGTGCGACCCCGTCCCTGGGATTCCCCAGACTAGAACACTGGAGTGGGTTGCCATTTCCTTCTCCAATGCATAAAAGTGAAAGTGAAGTCGCTCAGTCATGGCCGACTCTTTGCGACCCCATGGACTGCAGCCTGCCAGGCTCCTCTGTCCATGGGATTTTCCAGGCAAGAGTACTGGAGTGGGCTGCCATTGCCTTCTCCGATACTCTGTATACCACGAGACATATGAAGGCAAAAGAGAGACCAAACAATGAATTCTAACTCCTCCTTAGTGGGGCTTCCGTGGTCACTCAGACCATAAAGAATCTGCCTGCAAGATGGGAGATGTGGGTTTGATCCCTGGATCAGGAAAGTTCCCCTGAAGAAGGGAATGGCAACCCTCTGCAATATTCTTGCCTGGAGAATTCCACAGACAGAAGAGCCTGGTGGGCTACCGTCCATGGGGTTGCAAAGAGTCAGACACGACTTTCACTCCTCAGTAGCTACGAGGAGGGGGTGGATTTGGGTGAATTAAATCCCCTATGTTTCCCTTTGTGCCTGAAAAGAGTTCTACCTGAGAAGGTGACTGTGAGCACAAGTGGGTCAAAATCTGTAATGTTTGCAGCAGGGTGTGGCACCCAGTAGGTGCTCAATAAAAACACCCTTCTGTTTTTGCTTTCAGTACTGACAACCTCCTAAACTGTTCTCCCCGGTCACTCAGCCTGTGTCAATCTAGGATGCTCTTCCCCCGCCCCCGCCCCCTCACCTGTCAGAATGCCGCGGTCCTCCAGGGCCTGTCTATTAATTCTCCTCAGTCCACTTTTGTCATCGTCGGACAGGGCCCTGTCTCACTCACCTCTGAGTCTCCAGGGCTAGCAGGAACAGGCAGTGCACTTAACAAATTAGCCTTAAACGAATAAATGAAATGAATCATACCCTCCTCTTGGGGACTGCTCCTGCCCCTCCCATCCAAAAGCGACCTTGCCCTCCTCTGAGCTCCGACAGACGCTTTTTCTGCACCTTGAAGGTGGTGTCTAAAACTGGCGGTCTCCTAATTGGGGAGGTGAGCTATCCACAAACACAGCCATAATGTATTGAGCTCCTTGGGGGCAAAGGCTGTCTCAGCTGCTATGATGGAGACGTCCATGACATCCACGGCAGACCCTAAAGGGTTATTTTGATGGAAGGCGTTCTTCGCTCCATGTAATAGATCTAATTTAGCCAAGTGCTCCATCAAGCAAGTTTCCGAGGCCCTCATTGACTTAATTATAGATACATGAAACCTGGCAGGGATTACATGAGTGACTATTTAACCCTTAGATCCGTCAACAAATTGTTGACATTGTTTGGGAAATAACCTCTAAAACTTGAGTTGTTGTTGGTTTTTTTTTCCCCCCTCCCACCAGCACAAAGTCGAGCGCGAAGGTGATCTTTCTTTCCGAGCTCCCCTCCCCCACCTCGCTCCAGCCCTCATACGTGCAGGTCTGTCTTCCCAGACATCTTTGCCCAGCCATAATTACAGTGTGTTCCCAACCTAACTGATGGCTGGTGTCCTCATTAAGGACCATTACCCTGAAAAAGGTGTTTATTGAACCTGGCAGAGTGCTGATATTTGTTAGACCCTGTCATATGGTTGATGGCGTTTAGTCAGAACTCATTGGGAAACAGGAGTGAGCCGTTCAAACTGGCACCGGCAGCCGGGAGGCGGAGGCGCGCGCAAGATGGCGCCCGCAGGCCAAGGGAGGCTGTTCCGGCAGGTGGCCGGCGGCTCCACGCGCCCGCCCGCCCGGGGCTGTACGGGCGGCTCTGTGGAGGGAAAGACGCTCACGCCGAGGAGACAGAAACGAGGGAAGCCATAGTCTCTTTGGATTTCACAACCGTCCCTGTCCTGCTCACACCAGCCATGCCAGGATTATTTTCAAAGGATTGTGACTAATTGGAGAATTGATACCATGTGGGGTAGGGGGGGAGTATGTTTTCAGATAAATCAGTAATTTAATTCTTTCTATAATGAGAAAGGGTGGAAGTCACTGAGAGATGACAACATTCATTATCTTCCAAGGAGGTATTAGGAAATAGAAACTTCTCTGTGAAAAACTAGAACTTAGTCATTATGCTTCTGAAAAAAATAACCTTCTTCAGGGAAACTGGAATGTTGGGGCATCAAGGTCAGAGATGATGGCTGACCTTGATCGGTGCTTCCCAGCTTGAGTCAGCGCCTTGCTTTCCCTAACTGTGGGAGGACACGATATTTCCAAGCTACGGTCTTCTTTTTGATAAAATTGGTGGATTCTGATGACTTTAGAACATGTTTGATGTGCTGGAAATGCTGATGGGGGACCAAGTCAATGAAGTATGATTTCATCCTTTAGATTCCCAGTCCAGTAGACGGAGGAACAGTGTGTTTCTGCAAACAGTTCTTGGTGAATGTATGTTCTACAAATATATGTATGGGCCAGAAATTGTAGAAACACAAAAGCTGAAAGACCTAATTCTTCCCAGAGAGAATGGACTCAAAGCAAAGACAGTATTGATGCTGGATGGTTTTCAAGGGCTTCCTCTGTCACAACCTGCCCTGATCATGTGCTGACATTATCTTAACATGGAAATGCCATTGACTGATTCTCTAAGTCTTGTAAGATTAGTTGTAGGTGCCCAGGAGGAGAAAGAAATGAGAGGTAACAGGAGCAGCCTCAGGAGAAGAGCCAAAGTCTTCATCCACTCACTTGTTCCTGCTTTTGAACCACAAATATCCTGGGTGCCAGGAGTCAAGCAAGGTTCTGGGATCATCATGCATGAGACAGACACAGTCTCTACTGTTTCTGAAATGGGATAGCCTTAGCTGAGAGGGGAGAAGAAGCCAGATTAGGCAGCAAGGCAAGGATGAGAGCTGGGAAGAGGCAGGGAGGCTGGGAGCAGATCGTGGAGTCGGATGAGGCAGGAGGGCTCAGAGACCAGGTGAGGAAGTTCTGGTTTGTGCCGACAGCTATGGAAAGCACCCGTCAAGCCAACTTGCATGTGGAGCCATCCTTCTCACTGTGGTATGGTGGCGGGATCGCAGGAGGTCAGCACGGACACTGGTGTATCATGCAGGAGGGCCCCAGTCCTTGGTTCTGGTGCTGTGGACAAAGAGACAGGGGGATGGGTTTCATGCTCATCCTGTCCTCCTGAGATTGCACTAGACCCCAGATAACACGGCCTCTACAGGGGCTCAACCAGATGGGGATGGGGTGTTTGCCACAAAGCAAGACTGTTGGAGACCACCAGTGCACGCCTGGAGCAGTAGCTCCAGAACCTCACAAGGCACGTGTCTGGGTCACTTCTCCCTTCAGCTGAGGCTGCCCCAATTTAAACTTCTTGTTCCCGTTCCAGGGAGGAAGACGGAAGTCACAGAATGAATGGGACACCACCTCCATCTGGAAAGCAGACATTTCTCAGACACCCCCAACTCACTGACTCTTAGGTCTCTTTGACCAGATATATCATATGACCTCCTTATGGTGAGGAGGCTGGATACAAAGTTATCTTTTATTTTGCTGCTGCTTTTTTTTTTAGCTAGGCACACTGTTGCCTCAAATGCGATCAGACTTTTTATTAGTAAAAAGGCAAGTGGATGTTGGGTGGACAACGACTACCTCTTCCCAGCCTAGTCTTTCCCCTCCATCACGGTCATATTCACTATATTGATAGCGTTTATACCACTGAGTTGTGTACTTATTTGTTGACGGTTTTTTCCCTCATGTCAACTCCAGGAGATCAGGGTCTTGCTTGTCTTGTTCCCACATTGAATTCCCAAGGCCCAAAAGAGAGTCCAGCGTATCACTGGTGTCTGATCAATATCTGTTTGAGGAATAAACGAGAGGCAAATTCTTGCAGTTGTTGTTGGATCGGAGATGAGTGAGGAGGGGTTTAGAGAAAGGGGCTCAGAATGACTCCTGTTTCTCCTTGTTCCCAGGAACAGATGGTGGCACCATTTACTGAGGAAGGAGCCTGGAGGAGGACAGTTCAGGGGTGAGGCACATTGACTTGTAGGTACCAGTGAGAGCCCCACGCTGGCAGCTGGCTAAACAGATGTGGAGCTCAGAGGAGAAGTCTGGCTAAAGATGTACCTTTGAGACTCATCCAAGAATAGGTGGAAATCCAAGCCAAGGCTGGGGATGAGGTTACTGAGGGGGAAAATATAGGAGGGAAGGGCCGTTCAGCTGCTGGCAACAAGGGTAGATTTGGGAGGGTCACGGGAGATGAGCGGAAAATGCCAGCAGAGACCAGCTCCGGGTGGGTTTGTTGCTCATGATGGTAAGGCATCTGGCTTGAGCCATGCCTGGAAAACACTCTGTATTCATTTATTCATTCATTCGGTGAGTATTTACTGATGTTTACTTTATACCAAGCACTGGCAGGGGCCATGAGATAGGAAAACAATGAAGACACTGCCCGAAAGTGCTTGCTGTCCTTGTAGGAAGACGGGGATGTGAAGGAGCCGAGGTGTGATTCCATGCAGCAGGTGGAGTGACTGGTGTGGGTACAGGGGCATGCAGGGCGCAGAGAGGAGAGCTGAGCAGTGGGGTGGCATCGTAGCTGTGCTAAGTGATGGCTAGGAGCTCACTAGCTGGCTGGGCGTGCATTAAAGATACATCCAGCCTGCTGCTGCTAAGTCGCTGCAGTCGTGTCCTACTCTGTGCAACCCCATAGACGGCAGCCCACCAGGCTCCCCCGTCCCTGGGATTCTCCAGGCAAGAACACTGGAGTGGGTTGCCATTTCCTTCTCCAATGCATGAAAGTGAAAAGTGAAAGTGAAGTCGCTCAGTCATGTCTGACTCTTTGCAACCCCATGGACTGCAGTCCACCAGGCTCCTCCGCCCATGGGATTTTCCAGGCAAGAGTACTGGAGTGGGGTGCCATTGCCTTCTCCATACATCCAGCCTAAGAGCCTAGAAAGAAGGTGGCATAGTTTGTTCAAAGCATATAGAATGGCCGATGTCATTGAAGGCAGCATGTGGCAAGAGACAAGGATGGAGAAGCAGAGGATTTGGGGAAGATAATGGACGCTACTGAGGAGCTGGCTGAGTTCCCTTGTGGGTGATAAGGTGTCACTCAAAGGTTTCAAAGAACTTTGTATTAGCTGGGTCCCTGGCAACAGTGTGGGGCTGAACGTAAAGGGAAATTCTTGGTGCAGAGAACTCTGAAGGTGTAACTAGCCCAGTCCTTCGAGAAGATTTTATATCACTAGGACAGGGAGCTGCTGGCCTGTGGAGAAGGCTGGAGCTCAAGGATGCCTCTGTGAGATATCTACCTGAAGGATGAGTGCATAGTTGTTCCACCGACCACGGAGCAGAGTGACCAAGGAGGGTGAGGCGGCCAGCTCTGGATAAACTACCTACCTGCAGAATACCACCCCTGTGGACATGTGTGACAAATAATATACAGGGAGTGGAGAGAAAACAAAATTGAGGCTACTCTGTCTCCCGAGTTCCCGATTTGGGCGACCAGGTGGACGGTGGTGGAGGAAGCATGGGTGCAGCTTGGGAAGCACATGTTCAGTTTGGGACACAGGGTGTGGGGCATCCACAGGACCCCCGGCTCGAACCATCTGCCAGAGGACCAGAGGGCAGAGCCTGGACCTGGGGGAGGAGAGATTTCTGAGGCTCGAGCACCCGATCCTTGCTGAAGCCAAGGAGAAAGGCTAGGTCCCAATGGGACGAAGGCATGAGCATGAGGGACCCTAGGTGTGGGAGAAAGTCTTCTTGGGCATCGAATGATTTGAAGGCACATATGAAATACAAAGAATTACATCATGACACTGAAAGATATTCAAAATATTATCAGTATCCAATTTCACGTAACCTAAAATTATAATTATGAAAACAATGTAAATTTCATGTATGAAACATTGATGTGTGTATATTTCATATATTTATGTTTTATACTTTTCTTTATCCATGTATTTATGTTCTGCCTTCCACAGTCACCCTGATATGACAAAATGAAAAGTCAGAAATGCACCAGAAATGCCGACTTCTGACTCACAAGCAAATAGGTCTGGGATGTTTGATGGAAGAGAGGAGGCTGGAGATGGAGGCCATCCTCTCATAGCTTCCTTTCCACGAGGAGATATTCTCTTTCAAAACTCCTAGAGAGAAGGAGATGAAGCCCATCTGCACACTTATGTTTGTTTTTAAGAGAACACCATAGTTATTTCAACCGAGCAAAAGCTATTTCGCAGATTTGCCTTAAAACCCGGTAAGGACAAAGTCTAGGCTTTTGAATTTGATGCTTTCAAATCATGGTGCTAGAGAAGAGTCTTGAGAGTCCCTTGGGCTGCAAGGAGATCAAACCAGCCCATCCTAAAGGAAATTAAACCTGAATGTTCATTGGAAGGACTGATGCTGAAACTGAAGCTCCAGTACTTTGGCCACTTGATGCAATAAGCCAACTCAATGGAAAAGACCCTGATGCTGAGAAAGACTAAGGGCAAGAGGAGAAGGGGATGACAGAGGATGAGATGGTCGTATGGCATCACCAACTCCATGGACATGAAGTTGACCAAACTCCAGGAGATAGTGGAAGACAAAGGAGCCTGTCATGCTGGGGTCCATGGGATCACCGAGTTGGATAGAATAGTGACTGAACAACAACTAGATTTTTGACTCTTCAAAATCAGCTGTAAGTGTGAAAGAGTCTGCTTCCTTCAGAGGTGGGCGGAC